TATATGAAATGATGATATAGATATTGATCCATATGGTTAGGTACAGTAACGTGAAAAGGAATGAAATAATTATTTTTTTGATTGATTTGTAGTATCATGTGTGATAGTATTTTATAAATAATAATTGCAATAAAGTTATATCTAATCATATAAATATATAATAGATGTATGATGATATTACTTTTTTTATAAAATTGTTATGATATATTAATGACCCAAAAATAAAAAAAAAATTAACGGATCGATGAACTAAACATGTTCGATGTTTGAATGACTTTGGTTGCGATTCGAGTTTCAATTTCGATCAAAAAATATTTATTTTACTATATTTTGAACTAATTAGTATTAATTCAAATCAATATATGATAAACAATGCATATAACATTATAACTACTAGGGGTGTTTAGTCGATAAATTGAACTGTATCGTGTCGAAAATTCGAGAAACTGGACATCAATTTTTATTAATTTAAAAATAAAATACAAAAGCAAAACTATGCATGTATCATGCATATGCTCAAAATCTATATTCCTCCAATATGTTATAATTTTCCATATTCTATTTCCAGCATCCAAACAGAACCTTAAAAACTGGTCAATGTAGAAACAGTTAATAACGGTGAAGCTAACCGTCAAATGTAAAATCAAATTTAATTCCTTCTAATATTTTATTGCCTTAAATTAATATGTGTTGAGGAATTATTCACATAGCAAAATAAAGAGTGAATCTTGGAATTTTTTGTCAACTATTTAAATTATATATTCTCTCTTGTGAATAAAATCTGTCTCAATCTTATCGGTTCTTAATTTATTCTCTTAATTTTTAACTTGAGTCAATTGAGGAAAGATTCTCGAGAATAACTCTATCTTTACTCAATCGTGAAGAATTTCAAATTTCTTATTATAGTGGATGGTTACGATCAGGGCCGGTTTTGATTATAAACGAGAAAGACGGTCGATTCGGGACCCCTAATAATATTTTGTACGCTTTATATATGCTAATCATAATATTAAATAATATTTAAAATATATAACAACAATTCGAATAACCACATGACTATATCATTTTGCATAATTAAAGTATTTTGTTGAAATTTTTTTCGTTTATTCTTGCATTTGATGTGAATGGAATATAGTAGATCAGTTATAATTAGCTAGATATTGAGCAGGGTAGAGAATTTAAATTTCTTATTATAAATGTGAATTAAATATAAATTTAAAAAAATAAATAAATATAAAGTAGGTTAAGTAATATGATTTGTGCGGGTTATATTACTTAATAAGTGATGTTGCTCAACTGTCAATTGGACAATTCAAGAATTTTCGAGACCACAATGATAGATAATGCCGAAAATTATTGTCACGTGCCTAATGTATTGTTAAGGACTGAATCACTCGTTGCTGCTTAAACGTCGATTAATTAATGAATTAATTATTAAGGGATATTAAGAAGATGATGGGGTAACTAATACGCAAAAATAAAATTATTGTCGTTTCCAAGTTTTTTCATAATGGAGTTAGGAAGCCGACACGTGGCAGCCACTCCTTGTTTGGAGTGGGGAAGAAATGGTGGGGTTTTTAATTTGTTATTTATATATTTTCCAAATTTTTGTTTATTTATTACAAGTTGTACAAAAATAAATAGTAATAAATAAATTAGTGGAGTGTGGGCTGTCCCTACTCACTCATTATCTGGTGCATTATAAAATCAGTTGGGATTGATTTTTCCACCTCCTTTTAGCACAATTTTTAATTTTAATTTGTTTATTTATTTATACACATATTTATTGGACTAATAATTAATTGATGTCACTTGACAACCTTAATGCATATTCTTTAAGACAAGATAAGATTAGGTGACATGCTTTGGACATTAAATTACATGTTAAAGCTGACTGCTGAGTTCACTTGTGTTTTATTACACCTTTTCAACTTCACAAGACTAAATATTTTGCAAGTTAGACTATTCAAAAAAAAAAAAAAAAATTGGTAAATTACGGTTACCCCCTTACGGTAAGGTAAAATTATGAAAAAAATCCCCCTCTTGTTTGGATAATTACACAACTACCCTCCCAATTATGTATTTCCTTACGAAAAAACTCCATATTTTTTGAACTATGAATCTGAATAAACACGAGTCTTCCTACTATTTAGCAAGTAGAACCTGATAGTTGTAACCGAACGAGCTCTTAGTAATTTGTTTTGATCAAGAAAATTAATTCGAGATTTTCCAAAAAAAAAATACACAAATATATAAATAAATTCACCCTAAAATAAGAGCATGATGGACCATTAATTACCAACCATTGTATGCAATTTTGGCCAGACCCAATGACCTAAGTAGTTCCTAATTCCACATTGAATTGAACCCAAATTTGGCAATTTTATTGATGA